TTAGTCTGATTTGCACCCTTTTTTTGGAAATTGCATAACAGCTGAGTAGATGTAGAAGGAGACCAAGTGACTTCGCTTTAATTATATGTCATTCAAAATCATATCACAGAAGCAACAAAAGAAAGGTAGCAAGCCTTGAATATATCAATCAACTATACATTGTAATTCACCTCTCTTCAACCCAATGTTTCCTACCTAGATATTGTGCTCTGTAACCACCAGCATTTTTGTCCATGTCGTCTGGGGTTAGTGAGAGTTGTAATACAAAATAATGATAAGATTTGTTGTGAAGCAGACTCTTTATGAACAGGGGAAGTATCCCTTTTCATATTGCAAAGTATAATTTTCATCACAACCATGAAGTATGGGATTTGGAATCAAAACATTTGGAGGGCACAGATTCTCCATGTTTTCAGATAAATGAGATTTGGAATGTATTTGAAATATTAGTCTTCTAGAAATAATAAGAGTGTGCTGGCTTATGGCCAACTACATTGGTCCACATCGTTTTCTTCACATGGTATGTTTAATTTGGGCTTGCAGTTCCACTTCTACAAGGAGGAAATTTGGTATTTCTATCTTGACACACTGCTGGAAATGAAGAACATGCTTTTTCTGTCCGCTGCCCTGTGCACAGATTGATCTGACCTAGTTGCCTCCCTTTTATGCTTTTGTGCTGTATGGTGTTCTGCGATCTCAGTGTGAATTTTTTTTAGCTACGATTGGTAATCGGTTATGTTTGCCCAATTTCTCCATCATATATAGTAGTGAGTGTTCATTTAGGGAAAACATTTCATTTTGAACTTCTGCTAGATTTCAGTCTTTGAGTAATGAGGACAGCAGGAAATGGAAACTATTCATATGTTTAGAGAGTCAGGAAGTGTGTGTTACACACAGAGAGAAGGGGGGTCACTTGATCAGAGTGAACTCGGGAGTATCACACCATATGCTGATAGTCACATGGAGTTCATAAGGAGCTAGTATCTCTCTCTCTCTCTCTCTCTTTTTTTTTTTTGCAAAAAGTTTTCTGCAATTTGTGAAAAAAAAAGATATTTTGAAACTATCACTGAAAGGTGTACCTGAGAAGAAGATTCTCAAAAGAGTGATAGAAGCTTGTTTTGCAGGAGACAGACTTACATCCTAATAACTAATTATGAAGTTGTAAACTAACTTACAACCTTGTACATTTTGGTATTCACATTTATGATTGTGGCACCATTGCCACAATGGCACTATCTCCTGAAGCACTATCTCCTGAAATCAGCCTTACAATCCATGCAGCTGCACCAGCCAAAGGAGTTGTGACAGGGTCTTGCATGGCTCTTTGCTGCAGTTGTCCTATTGTGGTTGTGAAGTGGTGAACTGGTCATTTTTCAGTGCCCTGTTCATCAGCACAGTAGAACCATTTTGGATGGTGTGCAGTTGGGTCATAGCATGGATTTGTAGTTGCATCTTCCTATCAGGATCACAACCATAGAGATTCTTTCCTGCAGACTCTCCAAAGTCTACACTGTGGTGTACCTCCTGTCCTCTTGAGCAGATTTTGTGGATAGTGTTCTGCTGACAAATAGTCTTCCAGGGAGAGGAACCAACCAATGAAAACGTAGGATGAAAACGTAGGACTGAATATGTCTCCACAAGGACTCTTTGGGTCTCTCTCTCTCTCTCTCTATATATATATATATATATATTGAAAAATATTTGTATTTATACTTGTATTAGGTGGGTAGGAGACAACACTCTGTCATTTTTATTTATAAATTTCTTCCTGAGCTGTTATCTGAATAGTTAGAGGAGATTAGAAGAGCAAGATGTCTTTTGCTCCTTAAAATTGACATGGTCATGTTCTGAGTGGCTGGGCCAAAGACTTTGGTTCCCTCTTATTATGGAGTTGGCCTTTTTCTCCAGGGAGGAGGGGAATTAGAAAGAGCGGCCATGTTGAAAATACCAGATTTTGAACAGAAAAATAGTTTTTAAATTCTTCTTGGTGAGATTTTGTCTACTCCATTAAGTCTTTGTAGATGCTCCACAGGTATTGGCTGTCATGATTTTACCTCTAAAGTGTAGTATTGTTATTGGCTACTCAGTTATTGTTTGCTGCTCAGTTATTGTTGAAGCTTTGTTTGTATCTTTTCTGAACTTTGAGCGAACATGCACTTCCTGTGCCTCTGTATGACCCCAAAGCCATTCTTTTCTATTTCATCATCAATGACAGCAAGACTGTGCCATTCCTCAACTTTTCTTAATCTGCCTTTGCTTGGCTTTTTGGCTGCTGAACATGGCTTATGTGTTTGCAAAGATATCTTGTAGCAATTTAGAGACTGAAAAAGCTAAGTTGTTTACTTTTTCAGAAGCATATCAACATCTCCTATCCCCATGTAACATGTTATGTTCAGTGCATCTTAGGAAATGGACTGAGGAAGTCTGTGAAAAATTGTATTTCTTTATTCTCTCGGTTTCTAAAGTTCTAGACCAGTGGTTCTCAACCTGTGGGTCCCCAGGTTTTTAGGCCTACAACTCCCAGAAATCCCAGCCAATTTACCAGCTGTTAGAATTTCTGAGATTTGAAGGCCAAAACATCTGGGGACTCACAGGTTGAGAACCACTGTTCTAGAAGATATTTTTTGCAAATTAATATTCCAGATCAACACAGTTCTGTCTCTGGTTTATATTTGGTAATGTTCCTGCATCTCTTGTTTTTAGCAGAATTCAATACATGTGGCCTCAGACCAGCATAGTCTTTCAGCAGATATATTTGTGGGGTCAGCTATACAGCACTAATATAGCACTTGTGTTCCACTTTTCCCACCCTCTTCCTGTCCTATGGAAACCTGGGATTTGTAGCTTTGTTAGGCATTGAAACTCTCAGGCTGAGAAGTCCAAAGCCCCCTCTCTAAACTCTAAATCCCAGGATCCCATGGGCTGGAACTACGGCAGCTAAGGTTGGGTAATAGCACCATAATTCTGTATCGTGAATGGGTACTGTGTCCCAGAAGGTGCCTGTCTTGTGCTTTGAGATTATTGGCTTAGATAATTGAGTTGGTAAACATTAAAGGCTGCAAGTGACTATGCTGATATTGGCAATAGGGCAATATTTTATTGGATTTGGTGCCCGCCTAGTAATTGGCAGACATCTTTATTTTTTAGCACGAAAAAAAGCATCAGACTGCCAACTACAGCGTATTGTTACAACGGCAGGTTTTAGCAACCCTATTGTTCAGCTCCTGGCTATAGGATGACATAGTGATATTGGGGAAGTCCTGCCATTTTGGATCTTGCACCAATGGCCTGTGATCAGAGGGCAAATTTAGAGTGTGCTTAACTAAATGTATTGTTTCTTGATATATGCTTTATATTGTAAAGAAGCATTTCTTAGTTATGCCCATGGAGGTTGGGAACTACAGAAGAAACTACAGGACATGTGGAGAGTGCTAGATTAGGAAAGCAACGTTAATATGAGACAATTGGACAAAAGTAAAAATGTCAAGAGAGAACAAAAGAATCACTTCTTTGGAATATATATTTAAAAGAATTTCATGTGATTTTTGAGACTATTTCATCAAACTTCTTTTAGAATCTTTGTTTCATGAAAAACTAAAGAATAAATGAGTAAGACTACAACTCCAGCTACTATGTATGTAGTTTAATGGAAGGAACAACACAAGATCTCTGTTTAAAAAGAGAAAATTCAGCAAGTTGCACATTTTCTTAACTTTAAGAACTCTGCCTTATGCTCTTCCAGAAGTACATTAAACATGTTTACATTTTTAAGGCATCTGGTAAACGTTTTGCAGTGCTGTAAAGTTATGTTTTCTTCTTTTTCCTGTGGGAATGTTACAGCATTAGATCCATGGGATTTTTATTAATTGTCACGAAGTGACTAGTTAGTTCCTAACATCTGTTTCACTGAACTAAACATAGAAGTTATAGATTGTAAGCTGTGCAATTCAAAGACCTTTGCAGTTGATTACTGCTTCCTCAGTACTGTAAAATATCTACAATGATCATTAGACTATGCAGCTGAATACTATATAGTTAGCATTATTACGTCTCAGATTTAGAAGGTTTGTCTCACAAATCCTTTTTTATTAGTTCAATTTTTGTCAATTATTTCTAAGATCACATACTGTATTGTAAAAAAAGATGCATCAGAGCAAAAAACCCATAAGGAACTGAAAATGTGAAGCTGTTACAGATGTGTTACTACTGATGTAGAAAGAATCCTAGAACTGGAAGAGACCGCAAGGGTCATCCAGGCCAGCCCCCTGCCATGGAGGAAGACATAATCAAAACATTCCCAACACATGGCTATCCATCTGTTTAAAAATCTTCAGAGAATGAGACTCTATCACACTCCACTGCTAAACAGCTCTTATCAGAAAATTCTTCCTAATGGTGGAATCTTTTTCACTATTATTTGAAACCATTGCTATGTATCACCCATCCTCTATTAGTTCATTTCATTTTTTCTGTCTAAGGCCTTATTGAAATCAATGTATGCAACATCTATGTTCAACTCTAGTTTTTTTTAAAGGGGGGATAAACAGAGAGAGGGAGAGAGAAGGTTAGTCTGGCATGATTTGTTTTTCAGAATTCCAAATGAGATTTTTAGTGTTCACCACTGACCCTTCTAAGTATTTACAGACTGACTGTTTAGTGATCTGTTCAAGAATGCTTCCTGGTATTGATGGCAGGCTGACTGTGTGGTAGTTGTTTGGGTCCTCTTTCCCTCTCTGTTTGAAGATAGGGAGAAACACTGCCTACTTCTAGTCTGCTGGAATTTCTCCAAGAATTCTCATCCTTTGGACTCATAGTATTTGTAGTTTCATGTGGTATTTAGAATTCCCTGCTAGAGATCTCTAGTGATGCCTCAATTCAAACATCCAAAGATATGTAATTTCAAAGTGTTGTAATGGTCTAGGATTAAAGCGGCCACCATTGTAGTGATTTTTCATGTTAACTTTTATGGATTTTTAAAATTTAGTTTGTTTTCTTTTCAGAAATTGAGGCCAAAGAAGCCTGCGACTGGCTGAAGGCTGCTGGATTCCCCCAGTATGCTCAGATGTTTGAAGGTATTGCATTTTGTTCTGAGATACAACAATCACTGAAATACATTCAAAAACTAGTCCCTTTGATTTGTAATAAGTGTAATGCAGACAGCTGATTCTACACAAATGATCAGTCAATGTGATAGTCAGCATGATATAGGGAAAAGGTTAGGACTCTTAGATACCATGGTTCAAATCCTTGTTCGGCCATGGAGACTCACGGGGTGACTGTAGGCAAGTCATACTCTCTCAGCTTCAAAGGAGGAAAATGGCAAACCTTTAAAAACTTATTGCAAAGAAAAGCTTAGGATACGGTTGCCATAGATATAGATAGATTTGAAGACTCATAACAACAAATTGTTCAAGTTTATTTGTGTGCAGTAAGGCATCAAAAGAGAAAGGAGGCACTTGAATGTGTTGTGTTTTATTAGGGTAGGAATGTGTAAAAATGATAATAAGCAGAAAAGTTTATTGATAAATGTAGCTTCAGCACTATTGGCAATGTATGCTGGTTCCATTACAGACTTCCGATAAATTGACAGTATTGCTCCTCCCTCTTTGGGGTGTAAACAGTTGTTTTCTGTAGATGGATTGAGTCCAGGGATGCTCTGTTGAAACTTCCAGAGTTCCTTCCCCGTCTCTAGCCTTTTGCACCATCTGGAAATGGGTTTCCTATCCCTTCAGAGATGCCTTGATGCTACAGTGGAGAAGAGAGGTAACACTGTGTTCCACCAGTAGAACATCTGTGTGTTTCACTGGTCCATGCAATGTAGAAATACAGTGTTTAGAAAGAACATTGTTTCCCCACCACCTCCCACCCCAATGTTTGATCATGAAGGACCATTGTTAATTTATGCTTGTGTTAGGTGGGTAGGAGACAACACTCTGTCATAAATGAATCATCCAGCATGAATATCTGTCTGGAAAACAGGACAAACATATTTCTGTTGCCAAATTGTGCAGGTCTCACCTTGAATTCATTTGCTTAAAGAAAAAAGAGGTTTCTCATCCACTTCCCACATATTCCTCTCACACATGTGGGCATTTAAAATGGTGCTTAGCTGTACTTGTGAGGCATCACTGATTACTGAAAAATCTCTGTCTGCTGCTTCCAGACATCTTTGTCTCTCTTTGCATGAACAGCTTCACCACCGTTTGAACTTCACCTCACTTGCTAGGCAATGAACGGGCTGAGGTTTTATTCTTCAGCATGTGTTTTCTTTATTGAGAAATCTGAATTCCAAATTCTTTCATTAATTCATCTTTCCTTTCTATGCTGATGTATACATCTCTGATTTCTTCCTTGAATTAGATTATTTGGAGGCTTATATTAATTAGCTTAAACAGTACTTTGCCTTGATCTTTAGAAATGACCTAAATACCTTATTTCAGAAACTGAAGTCTGTTGGGAACTTGTTCTTTCAGATATGCAGTTTCCTGTTGATATCAACTCTGTGAGAAAAGATCATGAATTTTTAGATAAAGATGAAATAGAATCCTTGTACAGGTAAACCTTAGTATGACTTTCTGATTGTCTACCAGTCTGACTCTGAAGTTTTGGTTAAGGGAAGCATTGAATGAAAATAATATGACCACAACTAGGCCTGCATCTTTTGTGTTAGTGTTGTATAGTTGTTGTTCTACTACAGTTCTTACAAGAAATATATTAGTATCAGCACATGTATTATGTCTTCAAAGATGTTTTCTTCTAAAATGCAAGTCTAGCATTTGCATAGAAACAGACTGTATGATCTAAAAATATGTGGCTCTCCTTTATTTATGATGACGTAAGTTACACTTAGGAGCCAGCATTGTGCAGTGCAATGGACTACTACTCAATGGACCAGTATCCAAACCCTAGCCATGGAAACTCACTGAGGAACTTAACCTCAGATGAATGGAAAGGCAAACCTCTGATCAAGTTTTGCAAAGAAAGCCCCATGATAGTGTTACCTTAGAGTTGCCATGGCTCAGAAAAGATGTGAAACCACACACCGGCTAGCAAGACTTAAGACATTGGAAATATTGGAATTCATATTTATGGCTGCTGCACCAATATAATGACCAAAATATCTTCCTGAAACCTACCTTTGACCCAAGATAGGATTTCTGAGGTGCTATGGAGTAGGGGGCTCAGTGAAGAGGGGCCTTCCCCTGTCTTGGAAACTAGGCTTTTTGCAACATGTTTCATTGGGAGTCATAGAATTATAGAGTGAGAAGAGACCACAAAAACCATCCAGTCCAGCTCTTCTGCCATGGAGGAATATAAAATCAAATCGCTCCCAACAGATGACCATCCAGCCTCTGTTTGAAGTCATAGCTATGCTGATGACACTCCATGGTTGTAGCGACATCTTTTAATAAAGGATGTTATGTGTTTATGACTGCTGTTGACTAGAACTATTCCTGAGACTTGGTTAAGTCTCCTTGGGATTGCAGTTAAATCAACATGTGTATTTCCAGCAAACACAGAATTGATCTTCAGTCACTTACTAACATACTGATATGAAAACTGACTGGTGAAGAAATCCAGTTGTCCAACCAGATATATGAGCTGATATTTAGGTATATGTACAGTATCTTATATATTAAGATGTCTAATGGTTTGAAACCTAACCTTGGGGTTTTGATAGATTCAGCATTTCATATGAAGTTTGAAGTTGCATTGTAGTACATGGGTGTTTTTTAAAAACTTAATATCAAGGTCATTGTTTTTCCAATTTCTTCTTTGAAGCTTGCACACATTATTTGTGTTTTCAAATCCTGGAACCAAAATGCAACACTTCTTGGTCACTGGTATAGAAAATGACATCTTACCAGGAGAACATTGTAGCTGCAATCCAATATTACATTGGCTTTCTGCTAAATCCTTGTCACAATATCATGTACTGTATGTAACCTAGACCCTTTAATGTACAATATGCATAAGAATGTACAGTATACCTAAGAACACAATGATCTATGTCTGCTAAGAGGATGTATTAGAGGTCATGTTACAATTAATAACATATGCATAATATGCAAAACCAGAACTAGCATTCTTCTTAAAAGTTCATTGGTAAGATGCTAAAGGCACTAAAGAGATACTGACATTTTGCCAGAGCAGCTGTGATAATAAAGATGCATGTTATAATTTCAGTTTTAAGTGATTAGTAGCTCTCACAATATTGTGCAACTCACACCCACCCCCTTCCCAGGGGTGTGTCAGAGTAATTGCTTAATTGCATACAAATTATACAACAATGTTGTTCAAAGTTCTTTAATTCCTAAAAGTATTTCTTAAAAGCTAGGTGTGACCTGACATAACACATTTTAGATATTCATTATTTTATATAAGTACAACCCCTGTACCTGTATGACAACATCCCCACCACCTCTGAATATCTGAAATCATGAATGATAGGGAACCCTATATTTTGACCAATTTGAGGTAGAAACAACATAGGATCACACTGAAAGACCTAGAGATGTTCATAAACACTTCTGAGGGTGGTAAGGGAATACTTTTTAGTGTGTGGATAAGTGAATCTATAGATGTTGAAACTGTGAATAAGGGGCTGTACAATATATTAATAGCTACTCTGTATAAGGTCCCCCTGGTGGCATAGCGGGTTAAACCGCTGAGCTGCTGAACTTGTTGACTGAAACGATGATGGTTCGAAACCATGGAGCAGGGTGAGCTTGTGCTGTAGATTAATAGGTACCGCTTCTGTAGGAAGGTAATGGTGCTCCACGCAGTCATGCAGGCCATCTGACCTTGGAGGTGTCTACAGACAACGCCGGCTCTTCGGCTTAGAAATGGAGATGATCACTGCCTCCCAGAGTCAGACATGACTAGACTTAATGTTAGGGGAAACCTTTACCTTTATTTTACTCTGTATAAAAGAGGTGTCCTTTTAAAAAGTCAGACCAAAATATGAAGGAAATAAACCCTCTTACAGATTCTTATTGAGAGCTTTAAATAACCTTTAGTTAAACTTGTCAACGATAATAAATTGTTGAGTGCTCATCTCGGGCTACCCAGGGACTTGAGGTTTAGCAGTAATAGAAAATCAAACATCTTTAAGAAATGTTCAGTCTCCAATGTCTTGACACTTTGCCTGATTTACTACACAGAAGAAAAAGGCAGGGCATCAGCGAGCTTGGTAATTCGTCAGGATAGATATGCAGGCTGTTTATTGGAATTGATCCAACAAGCAACCCTCCCAGATAGAAAAGATATCTTTCTGTCTGTGGGAGTCTTTTGATCCAGTGAAGCATTTTTACTGACTGAGCAGAAAAGGTGGCAATCTTCACCGATTCCCCCCTGTGTTTTTTGAAAATCCAGAAAATCCTCTGAAATAGATGGTGAAGTTACACTGGGGTTGTGAAGCCAGGAGAAGGGAAGGGAAGAATCACAGATAACTGGGCAACAAACACAACAAAGGACAAATAAAACTATTTTGTCTGTGTGCATGTATTTAAGAATAAGGAAAGCAAATAATGTGAGGAATTAAGTGAAATGACTGCCATTGATTGTCAGATTAAAAGTAATTTAGCTTATATGTCTCAATGTACCTCTCCTTTTTTTCTCCAGACGTTTAAATACATTGAATAAGTATGCAGCAATGAAAGTGGAAATAAATCGACCAAGAAAGCGGGTATGTTTTCAAATGATACAATCACTATACTTAATACGGCAGGGGTGATGGATGTTTAAGTCAAATATGTTTGAAATTTCTTACCATATCTATTTAATCTTCTGTTGTTATTTTTTCCGTTAAAAATGGCTGTATTTTCTCCATCTGAGCAAGCTCTTCCACATTTGAAGAAAGTATCAGTCTGCTTTGTAAATGTTATCTGCATGCTGTCTTGAGGCAGAGACAGAAAGTATTGGTAGAGTCCTGAGCCGAGAAAGGACTTCTGTCATTTCACACTGTGTCCAGGCAGCCATATTTTTGAATTCTTTCTTAAAGCTAACTAGTTAGAGAAGGGGTTTGAGCAACACTTTTTATACCAGCTTGTTGCCTTTTTATATTCAGAACATCTGTCTGTTTTTGGGCTGGGAAAGGTTTGCAGAATGACATTCCCTTACCTCCAGTTTAGACTGATCAAATTGAGGTTCTGGTTTGCTCATGTGTAATTCATACATTACTCCCAACTGTTTGGGGGGGCTGCTGTTCTTGTTCCACCACTGCTCTTCATTTCCCAATTCTGGAAGTCTGACGCTAGTATGGAGAAGGAAGAGATTTCACTTGGACCTGCGCAGCAACATAAACACCCACCCTTAGAGTTGAACTCTGAAGTGTTCGTTTTGATTTCATTATTTTTCTAGGCTAATGGAACAAGTTTAAACTGAAAGAGATGAGGCTAACTTTAGAAAAAAATCAAATATTTAAAGTAGGATAATAGTAACAGCAATAAGTAGATCATTGTCATTGTCATTTATATAGCACACTCAATGTTCATGGTGCTTTACAAGTTAACAGTCAACAACAGTCGGTTTTACCAGAGACGTAAACTATAATAGGGAGCTACTGACAGTAACATGTAGTCAACATGTAAAAATTATAAAACAATATTAAACTAAAATTCAACAAGCTTTGGAAAATAGGAAGGGTTTTAATAGAATTTTTTTTAAAGTATTGAGATTTAGTAGTTGACTGTGCCAGGAAACAATTAATTGACAGAAGCACCTCCTTTCATTGTAGAAGCTGTTGGCAATAAGCCTTCAATCTTCAAAGTAGTGTTAATGCTCAAAATATTAGATTGCATGGTTTGGAAAATACGTGGTCTGAATCCAACATTGGTCTTGCCTAGAGTACCCATTTAATTAATGGAATGCACCTAAGCTGTGATTAACAACTGTTTTGCTGTCCTCTAGAGATAGATTGGATAGACTGTGTGTCTATCAAAATACAGTATTACAGTTCTGCCAATCCAAAATAAAATGTACTAGAAAAGATTATGCTTTGGTTTTTTAAAAATTGCCTAATATTTGCAATCTTTTTGCTTTGTTTAAAGAGTGATGACTCTGAAGAGGACGAGCCTTGTGCAATAAGTAACAAATGGACCTATGAGAAACATACTCAGAGATGGTCTCGTCTGGGGAGCTCAGAAGGGTCATTGGCACCAGTTCCTGACAATTTGAGACTCAACAGTTCTGGTAGTGGAGATATAATCTTTTCTGACCATGGAGAACGAAATGATGGGTCCTCTGTCCACAGTTCCAGCAGTGGAGATAGTGATTTAATCAGCTTTCCAAAACCCTGTGGAGATACTGAGACAAGCAGGAGCTCCTCAAGATGTTCTTCAAATAAATTGGCATCAATTGACTCCACCTTCAGCTGCTCTTCTTCTCCTTGTGAAACTTTGAATATAATTAGTGAGGACAAACTCTTGGAGAAACCATCCCATAAAAAAGGAAGAAGTTTCTTAAAGAAAATGGAGAAGTTGCGCCTGAGAAGTGGCAATCTGAAGAGCCAAGCACATTCAAAGACCATACCCATTATTAGCGAACCTGTTCTGATAGAGGGTCTAAATGAAGAAAAGTTGAGAAACCTCAACTGTGTAAGTATTTCAGATGTGTCGGTGAGTCAGGTGAGTCATGCTTCTGATTCCCCACAGACTTGTAGCAGCACCAGCAGCAGCCAGTCTGAAAACAGTAGCACAATGAGTACTCCAAGTCCTGTAATCAAAATGAGAAGACACAGCAAAAGAGGAGGAATATATGCAGAAGACTTGGATTCTGGGAAACTTTCTTTGTGGGGTGATATTTCTCGGCATAACCTGAAAAATGAAAACCACGTGGAGAAGAACAAAGTATTTCAAGTGCCACAAGGCCATAAGCCAGGGACTTTTCCCAAAGCACTTACCTATAGCCTCTTGTCCCCTGTAGACAACACTTCCGTGAACTGGAGAACTGGGAGTTTTCATGGATGCCGGAGAAACAGGGTTCACCGTAGTTCTCAGGACTCTGAAACTCCACCTGGCTCTCTTTCATTGATGGATAACAGACTGAGTATATATGACAATGTGCCTAACATTCATCTTCACAAAATGAGTGCACCAGAGATAGGTGATGATGATGTTTTCGCAGAGCTGGACAATGTTGTGGAACATGTGAATGGGCTTAGGAAGTTGGTTAGTCAATGGACGGAGAAGTTATCTGACGAGGGAGACTCTGATTCTGCCAGCCACTCCAACCAGTCCACCTCTCCTTGCCCATCATCCCCTAAGGAGATCCATCTTGAGATTAAAGAACATTCAGAGAAGAAAATGGCAGGATTTCCAGTTATTGAGAGTGACGATTGCAAACCTATTGATGAACACAGCGTCTTGGACCTGGCATATGTCATGGACTCAGGAGCAAGACCAACGTCAGGACATTCTATCAGGTCAGCCAATTATTGATTAAAATGGAAAGACTGTAAAAAAATGATATGAGGCTGGAATTGTTTTGTCTAAAAGGGGACGAGGACTTTAATAAGTATTATTCAAACCTGCTTTAGTGTACATGGAATTAAATTAATTGTTGGTTGTGATTAAACTCTAGTGTATAATGCCTTAGTATTCAGAGAAGAAGACCACATCTCCCAAATCCCACTTGCTAGCATGGTAGATTGGGAGATTGTAGTAAAAATTGTCTAAACTCTTACAGTGTAATCTCTTACAAGACCTTGTAAAATACATGACTATTTTGGGAGAGCTGTGAGGTTCTAGAAAGGGTCTGGGTGTTGAAAATAGTATTCATACTGAAAGGATTTAAACACATTTTCTTCTACAGCCACGGCAGAAGACACTGGTCAGCTGGGGATGGCACAGACCTGGAAAGTCTTTCTCTTCAAATTGACTGCCAGTCTGCGGTCCACCTCAATCGAATGCAGAAACTTGCATTGCTAAAGTTAACTTCTTTAATGGATAAATACTCTCCTTCCAGCAAACAAGGATGGAACTGGTAAGTTAAATGAAGTATACACATTTCTGGCATGTTGCTCTGTGTCTTCAAATTGTATTTGACTTGTGGAAACCCTAAGATGAACTCACAACATTATCTTGGCCAGATTTGTTCATAGAGGGGTGCTCTCCCTTTGAATGCCCTATGACACTAATGGTTGCTGCTGGGAGTAAATTAGAAATACCACCATGCTCCACTTCAATTGTCAACAAAATATACCTCTCCTGCTTTATGTGGCTATTGGCAGTTAAGAAAAGCTTGGGGAATACATCGTAACATGCATAACTGTCTATAGTGTAGGATTTTGGAATACATCTTTATTTTCACTAATAATTCTAACTGAAATTTAGCATTCTCTTCCATTATGAATGTAGAAAACAAACCAGAGTAGTACCAGCAGTGCAGTGGACCCTTGTTAACTGCTGGGGTTTGGTTCCAGGAGCCCTCATGGATACCAAAATTCATGGATGCTCAAGCCCTGTTATATACAATGGTGTGAAATGATGTCACTTGTGTAACATAATTAAAGCAAAGCTTGTTTTTGGAATTTTTGTGGTGAGGGAAGATATTCTCAAGCCATGAATGGTTGAATCCGTGGATACAGAATGTGTGGATATAGAGGGCTGACAGTACCTGTGACTTTGTCACCAATACGTGTTCACATGTCATATTAAAGATGTTGCTGGTATCTTGAAATATCATTTCTGTTCATTACTATTTTGAAATTACTGTAGTTGTTAGAATCACTACTTAGATAACATATACTTGCAAAGAGGGCCAAGAGCTTCATTCAGACTACCAATGTGAACTGTGACACAAATTAAGAGAACCTGTTATGAAAGTTAATAACAATAAACAGCTCTCAAAGATTGCTAATTAGCTTTCTGAACTTTTAAGAATCCTTATATATTTAATTAGTTCTCCTGATACTGGCTGTGCTGGCTTGGGGATTCAAGGGTATGTAGTCAAAACAATGACTCAGGCCCTGGTTATTCCTTTACATTATTTCAGCAAGTAAGATCCCATGAATTAGTTTCAAATACCCTATACATGCACTTTAAGTTACTTAGAACACCACACTAGTAATGAAGTGAACTTCTTTATTTTCAGGACTGTTCCAAAATTTATTAGAAAAATGAAAGTTCCTGATTATACGGACAAAAATATATTTGGAGTACCATTACTGCTAAATGTCCAGAGAGCTGGCCATCCACTTCCAAAGAGCATACTTCAAGCCATGGACTACTTAAGAAGAAATTTTCTTGACCAGGTACCAGTATGAAAAATGAGACATCCTGCTTAAGGTTTCATCATGACTACCTTATTTTTACATGACCCATAGCAGGTAGTTCAGTGTCCTAATTTTTCATGTAAAGTCAGTACGTGTAAAAATTGAAATAAATCCTTCTAAGATTTAGGCTGGGAAAATTGTGTTATCCCTCTTTGTGGCTGCCCAATCTGTTAGTTCCTGGAGTCCTTTAAAAATGTTTTTAAAAGATTCTATCACCCAAATGCTCATTTATGCATGTTTTGGAATGTATAAGATGTGCAATTTAATTGTTTCATGGGGCAGAAACAGTCTGCTATCTTATATGGCAGATATGCTTAAGTGGTGGAAATATGAAAGATAGATAAAGGAGCAAAAGAAAAATGAAAACCAGTAAGTTGTATTGGTGCTAGCCCAACCTAAGAATAAGTTCAGTGTCAGGCAATAATTTCCATGTAATAAGCTGTCACCACAGTTCAAACACCATGTAGGTAAAGGTAAAGGTTTTCCCCTGACATTAAGACCAGTCGTGTCCGTCTCTGGGGGTTGGTGCTCATCTCAGTTTCTAAGCCAAAGAGCCAGCATTGTCCGTAGACACCTCCAAGGTCATGTGGCTGGCATGACTGCATGGAACACAGTTACCTTTCCACTGGAGTGGTACTTATTAATCTACGCACATTTGCATGTTTTCGAACTACTAGGTTGGCAAAAGCTGGGTCTAACAGCGGAAACTCACGCTGCTCCTCAGATTTGAACCTGTGACCTTTCGGTTAGCAAGTTCAGCAGCTCAGCGGTTTAACCCACTGTGCCACCGGGGGTTCCTATCATGTAGGATGTTGTTACTTCTAACCCCATGTTTTGCAGTGTAAGCCGTTTTTTTAGTTACAAGACATCAGTGCCTCAAATATTTGTGAATGCGTAAGAATCAGCTTTCAATATCAATATTTGTGTACAGTGCTACAGATGAAACTGCATATACATTTATATACATATACATTCACAATCCATTTCCCACCAATCCATCACCATTCCCTTTTTTCCAGACAAACTAATTTCTGTCTCCCGTTACTTCCCCACAGTGATGATACACAGTGGTATATGCCAAATACGCTTGCAATTTATCGCCACATAAAAGTTCTGCAGTCTATGGGTATATCCTTCTGAATTTGGCTTTTATTTTTTATGTTCTTCTTCATAGGTTGGCCTTTTTAGAAAATCGGGTGTTAAATCAAGGATACTTTATTTAAGGGAAATGAATGAAAATGATCCAAGCAGCATCACTTATGAGGGGCAATCAGCTTTTGATGTGGCAGACATGGTGAAGCAATATTTCCGAGATCTTCCAGAACCTATATTCACAAGCAAACTTTGTGAATCCTTCCTTCACATCTATCAGTGTATGTAATAATGAATTCAGCTTTGTTTCATCCATTGCATACATATATTTTATAAAGTGAACATTTCTTTTTTCATTTATATGTACCTAATGTTGTTTAATTGTGACTTTAATCTACTTCTGAGCCATCACTCATTAGAAAGAGTATAGATCTCATGATCTTTCTTTAACACCATTGAGCTTATTTTTAAGTTTTAAAAAGAAGTTGGCATTTTGTTCACTTTATTAGGAAATTGTTTAACATGTGGTGCTTTTTTCAAATCCCTATCATACAGAATTAAAAATAAAAAGAAAGTAAATATGGATCTCTGGAACATATATCCTGGCACTCATCATGTCATGCCCTTCATTTCTCTCTCCCCCCCTCCCTTCCCTTTCTAGATCTGCCAAAAGATCAGCAATTTTGTGCTGTCCAAGCTGCTATTCTTCTGCTTCCAGATGAAAACCGTGAAGCTTTACAAACTCTGCTATTCTTCCTCAGGGATGTAGTAGCATTTGTGGAGGAGAACCAGATGACTCCAGCCAACATTGCTGTCTGTCTGGCACCATCTTTGTTTCACCTTAATACCCTGCGGAGAGAGAGTTCTTCATCATCTAGGTATTTTGGCTTGGGCAGATATTTGCAAGTGGAAAAATACACTGTCCATAGTACAAAATGCCAAGGTGCTTCAGTCAGTCGACATTTATAGGAAATGAGCATAATGTGGCCATTGCTTTCCACATGGCAGTTTCTCTTGGTTTATGCTGTATTTGGCTCTGTTTGGAAGCAGATTGCAGGCATGCAACGCCAGAAATGGAATGCAGATAAGATGTTGCAATAGTTGGGTACTTAGTAAACTATTTTCTCTGAGAGATAACAATCTGGATATGACCTTAAGCTTGATATATATCCTAAGCCAGTACATAATGAAATATGTTGTTATATGCACTGGAAGAAGAGACAGTAAATATCTCAGAAAGGAGAAAAAGACCCTCTCCACTTCTTGGCTTTTCCATGTGCAGCAGTTGGATATATTCCTCATGGATCTTGTTTTATTCTGCTAAAGTGCAATGAGTTACAGCAATTTTCAATTATTCATTTTTTAAGTCCCAGCAATGTAGGTCCCATCAAGTCCCTTTAAATAACCTGGATTTCAGTTTTGTAGAAAAAGGGCCCCTTTTGACAAAAAATATATTGATATGTTTTAGAGTCCTCTGCTATCATTTTTATCATTTACAGTCAGTTTGAAGGACATAAAGATTACAGTGACATAGCTGAGTGAATACAAACACATAAGGTACACATTCCATTAATAAGGAAAATTGTAATGATACTGCTGAACATAAGGTGTACTGTTATGGTTAATTGTAAAACATTGTCTGAGAAAACTCTTGGTGAGAGAGTTTGTAGAGAAACCAACAGGACAGCTTTTTCTCTTGAAAGAGATGCCTTCCTATGCCACCCCTTCTGCCACTATGGCACCCACAGCTATTTTACACTCACACTGGAGCACCATAATTAACAGTGCTGTACTTATGCTGGCCAGTGGGACCATGGCCAAAGAGTACAAAGACAAAATTGCCAAGATATTACAGGTTGAATATCCTGTAATATCGGAAGAGTTTTGGATTTTGGATATTTTAAAGTTATTGGAATATCTGTATTTGAATATATGTGCATAATGAGACATCCTGGAGATGGGATTCAAGTCAAAACATGAAATTCATGTATGTAATCCTTATATACATAACTCAAATGTCTAATTTTCTACAATAGTTTTAATAATGCACAGTGTTGTACATTGAACCATTAGAAAGTAAATGTGTCTCTTTTCAGCCACTTACGTGGACAATTTCTGGATAATGGATGCTCAACCTGTATTGGGCATAGTTTTCTTGCTGAGATTGTAACATCCCACTTCAGCTACTTTGCATCATTGGTTGATTACCACTGCTTGGAAACTGAAACAGTTTGGAGGCTTTTTCTTTGTGAATTGCCCATCCTAACCATACCTGGTGTTTTTGCCACCCTGATCCGTTACATTGTTTGCTTCATGTAACTGAGTTTGTAGGATGGGACAGTGCAATAGATTAGGTTTCTTAAGGCATTCCAAGACCCTTCTTCTGCCTGGGGATGAGGTTAGCCATGTTTTATCATCTTTGTCAACTTATCCCATAAACTTACGGTTTGGGATGAACATAAATGATCTTGTAACTACATGGGACCATGTATGTATGGCCTTTTCAGAATGTGCATTCATTTTAAGAACAGTTCTTTTGTTACTAATATCTTTATGGTGACCTTTTGACCATACTATAATAAAGTAATATAGCATGGGATGAAGCTATGAATGTAGACTGCGTCATGGAGGAGGGAGGGTGTTCCAGTGGCCGGGGAGCCCCCATAGAAGTCGTGGTGGGGAGGGGGAGATACGGGAAAGGGAGACCTTTAATTCGGCCTAGGGAACGTGGATCAACATTAGTAATTCCAAAGCGGTCTCCTGATGTGGGAAGTCGGTGTAACCAGGAAGGCGGTCCCTCCGGGTTGAAGGTGGTGCTGTTGAACGCCAGATCTGTCAATGGTAAAACAGCTTTCATCCAGGATTTGATCCTGGATGAACGGGCAGATCTGGCGTGCATCACAGAGACCTGGCTGGATGAAGCTGGAGGAGTGAATTTGACCCAGCTTTGTCCACCAGGTTTCTCTGTGCAGCACCAACCGAGATCCGGAGGGCGGGGAGGCGGGGTTGCAGTGGTCTATAGAGATTCCATTCGTCTGACCAGGGGCCCCATCCCGCAGTCAACAAAATTTGAATGCGTCCACCTGAGGGTGGGTGACCGGGACAGTTTAGGGATTCTGTTAGTGTACCGTCCACCTCGCTGCACTACAGACTCCCTGACTGAGCTAGCGGGGGTGGTCTCGGACCTGGCGTTGGAGTCCCAACGGCTACTTGTGCTGGGGGACTTCAACGTCCACGCCGAGGCCATCTTATCGGGAGCGGCTCAGGACTTCATGTCTGCCATGGCAACCATGGGGCTGTCCCAACAGGTATCTGGCCCCACCCACAGTGCTGGACATACATTGGACTCTGGTTTTCTGTCAGGGATGGGAGGAAGGTGGCGGTTTCGAGGAGTTAGCCATCTCTCCGTTGCCATGGACCGACCACCACCTGGTCAGCTTTAGACTCACTGCACCCCCTAACCTCCGCAGAGGTGGAAGACCTATTAAATTGGTCCGCCCCAGGAGGCTTATGGATCCGGATGGATTCCTGACGGCTCTTGGGGAATTTCCTGCCTCCTCGGTTGGTGATCCTGTCGATGCCCTGGTCGCTCTCTGGAATGGGGAGATGAACAGGGCAATAGACACGATCGCTCCAGAACGTCCCCTCTCGAGTAGCTGAGCTAAACCAGCTCCTTGGTTTACTGAGGAGCTGGCAGCGTTGAAGCGAAAGAAGAGGGTACTAGAGACCGTGTGGCGTTCAGATCCGAGCGAGCCAAATCGAACACGGTTTGTGTCCTTTTTAAGGGCATACGCCGCGGCAATAAGAGCCGCAAAGAAGACCTTCTTTGCGGCCACTATTGCGTCTGCAAAGAACCGTCCGGCTGAACTGTTCCGAGTTGTCAGAGGCCTGTTAAAACCCACCACTCAGGATGGGTGCCCTGATGACTCGGCAGCTCGCTGTGAAGCTTTTGCTCAGTTCTTTGCAGACAAAGTCGCTTTGATCCGCTCTGGACTGGATACCATATTAACGGCAGTCTCTGAGGATGTAACACGAGCATCTGCTTGTCCAGTTTTGATGGATTCATTTCAATTGGTGAAACCCGAGGATGTGGACAAGTGCTTGGAGGAATGAGAGCTACCACATGCATCCTAGACCCCTGCCCATCCTGGCTTCTAAAGGAGGCAAGAGGGGGATTGGCCGAGTGGGTGAAGGTGGTGGTTAATGCCTCCCTTCGGGAAGGCAAAATTCCAGCCAGCTTAAAACAAGCTGTAATAAAACCGCTGTTGAAAAAAACCTTCACTGGACCCCACTAAATTCGACAACTTTCGGTCAGTTTCCAATCTCCCCTTTTTGAGCAAAGTCCTGGAACACGTGGTGGCCTTACAACTCCAGGTATTCTTGGAAGACACGGATTATCTGGATTCGGCACAGTCTGGCTTTAGGCCGGGACATGGTACTGAGACAGCCTTGGTCGCCTTAGTGGATGATCTGCGCT